GCTCAGGTTGTGGGCTCGGTGGTGTGGTTTGAGGAAGCATGGTTTCATCTTCGTTGGCAAGGCGTGGCTCAGTTGTGGAAGTCCAAGCACGCTTGCTTGGCCGAGATATGGACGGCTGAGCGGTTGGTAGGGCTACTACGGCGTCTTGTGTTTGGCCGGCTAGTGGTACCTCGGCCTGATTTGTTTCGGTGATCAGGGCCCTTACCGCTCTCTTTTTGGCCATTTCTTGTTCTGTAATTAATGGGATAAGGTTAATTTGTGGAAGGGTTAGATCAGGTTCCGGTAAGGGTTCCAAGAGGAAGTTTGTTACATTGGTCTTCCTCCTGCTGCTATATCTATATGTCGGTTCGAAATTCAGTAGCTCGGCCTAACCTCGATTGCGATATCTTAGTGCGGTGCGGAGTGCGTCGAGATTGGGGTAACTGTACTGCGACTTAAGATGGTTCGAGTCTGCATAAGAAAAAGCCAAACGGTTAGTACGGTTGAAAACGTATAAACAGAGTAAAGAAAGCACAAAACTAAGCCGAGGTAATTATACCGGCTACTCCTTTATTCCAGTTGATCCGGTCTCCTAGTATTTGGGCTTTTTGATATTCGAAGTTACCAGAGACCCAGAAAAAGTCGTCATCATTTACATCTTTGTCCGGGGTATTTTTTATTATCTTCTCGCGGCGTCTTCTTATTCTTAAATAGTACACCCAACCATCTTCGTTCTGGCCAAGTGAATACTGGTGAAATAGCTCAGCTAAACCGAGATTAAGGCCAAGCTGACGGTTTAGCTCGGTGATGCCATTTATTATTCGGTATGAATTGGTAGAGAGCTGGGTAGGGCAAAGTCTTGTTTGTTTGAGGAATTCATAAAGAAGAGGCTGTACAAGGAATCAGAGCCCGGTTTCTACAATAGAAAGAAGGGTGAAGGGAACAAAGCCCAGTTTACCCCAAGGTGTCTAGTTCGGATAAACTAAGGTGAACATCATCAGGGATGTTGTAGTCTCTTCAGAACTCGGCCATAGCCCTTGGAGAGTTTACTAAGAATCTATACTTCCCCATGTGGAGTTAAATTATGTATAATTTAGCTCGGTGTTGAGATGACCTTCAGTATCTCGATTGAGCATGCAAAGGTGTGCCTGGCCAACCTAGTCAGTCTGCAAAGTGAAAAGGAAAAGTGTTAAGCACAGATCGTTGGATCGTGCTAAAAAAACAAAGGCAAAATAAATGGAGACCTAGCTCGGCTACGTGCTACACAGTCTGATCTTAGCTCGGTTGAAATGAAGGACTTCAGCTTGGTTAAGTGGAACGAGAAGTTCCTAGCTCGGTTAAAGCTTAGGGTGTGGCATTCTTGGTTTGGTTTTTACTAAATCAGAGAGCTGGTTTGGACCCAAGTGATAGCCTGGTCATTGGTTAAAGCTTTCTAGTTCGGTAGTGCGCATACCTAATATAATTCCTTAGTTCGGCTAAGTGAAACAGAAGGTAAGACCTATTGGAACTTAATCTAGTTCGGCTGGGTGCACACCTTAAGTACAAACAGGTTCCTAGCTCGGTTGGAATTCTATTTTGGATCAAACGCGTCGTTCTTCAGGTTATTCATGAATACAGTGGTTCTATTATATGGTTTTTTCCCAGAGAAATGGAAGCAAAAATGGTATATGTATTTTAAAAAATGTACGAGTATTATACTACATACTTCAGAAACTATATAAACAAAGAGGAAATGGGATTGAGTTACTTACAAGTATGAAGACGAGATGATGAAGATCGAAGTCGCAAGAAAGAGCTTCACAGGCACTGTGTTTGGAAAAATGGAGGCTCAGAGAGAGAGAGATGGAAGATGATGAATAGTAGAAATGGTTGGTGCAAAACGTATGGTTTTTGTGTAAAGAGAGTGAAAAAGGCGGGACTGTTCAAAATTTGCGAGATACGAAGTCGGCGTTGACAGCTGTACTCAACAAGTAGGGGCCAGCCACGTGTCTATGGAATAGCAAGCGATTCAGATGACAGCGTGACTAAAGAGACGTTTTTTGACCGAACCAATCAGTAGCCCGGTGGCATTTTAGCTCGGTTAAAAGGATAAAGTTTTTTTTAGCTCGGCTGGTAACAGGTAATCCCAATCATGCTACGCAGATGGAATTAAGGGGCAATTGAGAGAGTAATTTATAATTGGGCCGAGCTAAAGGCTTCTTTGTGAGTTGGGCCACATAATGGACCGAGCTACGTCAAAACCTTACCCCGGTCTTAGAGCTAGCAAGCTTGACCCAAGCGAAGTACGAACCGAGCTATGGATTGAGGGGCTTGGGCCTTGCGTGATCGACCTCATCCTAGTTAGCCCGGTGAGGGATTGCTGTAGTTAGCTCAATTTGGACAACTAGAACCGAGGTATACTTGGACGGGGACCGAGCTAGGCACGGCGTGTAGAATCACCGAATTGAGTATGTTAAAGGTAAGTGTTAGCTCGGTCACACTAACATCCAACCGTGGTAAAACCATCTCACTTGGTTTAAGCAGTGAGGGGGTGTTGAAGGATAAGCATTATCTTTCAGGAGTGTGATTCCTAGAAGAAGTCTACATGAAGGAATAAGAGTCCTACTAGGATTGTGCCAGACAAAAGTTATAAAAGCTCATAACATAACCTATGGAGAGGTAACACAACTTTGATTCCCGAATACACAGAGCTTTTTGTCTATTGACTTAGGTATTGGAGAGGTATCCAGCACACACCTGCCGGCTAACTTACGTTTGTGTTTTCAGGGAGTAAAAAGACGACATTTGGAGGAGCGCAAACTTGATCAACAGGATTATACGTGAAGATTATATCGTGCTCGTACAGTGGACACCCTTAATTATAAAATAAAATTTAAGGTAAATAAATAAATAATGAAAATTAAACTGGTTGACTAACTTTTTAATTCTTAATTCTTTAGTAAAATGTTCATAAGAAGTTGCCATCAACGTGTTTAGAATAGAAAAAAAAAAAATATATATATATATATATATATATAAAAAGGGAAAAGAAAAGAAAAAGGAAATTGCATTGCGGCACGCAACATTACTTAAATAATAAACTTGCATTTGCACACAATTAATAATTAGGACAATGATATTTTTATTTTTATTTTTTATTGGCAAATGTTAGTTGTTAGTTTAGCACCTATGGGAGAAAATCTCTCCACTGTTGGCAAAGTACCTAAGTGCTTGCACTCTCTTAATTCCCCCTAAGGGGAATTGAACCCATGACCTCCTTGGGACTAAGCCCTAAGGAAAGTATGGTGGCCAACTAGACTAGGCCTAGTTGGTTAATTAGGATAATGATATTGGCGTTATACTTTTTACATTGTGTTTGATTAGGAGATTTTAGAAAAGATTTGAAAAGAAAAAGAGATAAAATGTGTGAAATTAAGTTAAATATACTTATCTTTTCTCTTTTTCTTTTTAAATCTATTCTCAAATCTCTCAATCAAACACAACGTTAGTCTCTTGCACGAGTGGTTATATGGTGGTTTTATAGTAATACTTTACACCATTCATTTTGTGACACTTGTTATATTCTCTTAAAAAATAATATAAAAATATTCAATCTCATAATTTTAATCAATAAAAATTAAGTTTAAATCCTACATTATCTTGCTCTAGGAGCACTAAATATTTTCTCATTTACACGCTTTTTATATGACATTAATGTCATGTTTGACAAGGATACAAGTTGAGTTATGAATTTGTTGGAACTTAAGAATAATGTTATATGTATTAATTAATATATTAAATAGTATACGAATTGATGATGTGATATAATTTAAGAAATTTTTGAAATTTATAATGTAATTAATCAGTGGAATCAATAGTAATGTTATAACTAATGTTGGTACACTAGTTAGTACACTGATTGATACATGAATTATGAATTTGTTGAAACTTAATGGTGAGATTACTAGTATGAGTATTAAGTTAAAAATGTAATATCAGTCGGTTAGGTTGGTTTACCACAAGAAGATTACGTCATTAATACCAAGATGCTCATTTATTTTATACTATATAATTGAGTAACCTTAATACTGATATAAGAGATGAGATTAAATAAAGAAAATTTAAAAATTAAACAATACCATAAATATTGTAGTATTAAGGAATTAAGCTTCATAGTTATCCAACAAAAAAAAAATAATTATATATTTCTACCTCTTTTAAACCGATCACATTATCTTACTTGAGAAGTTATTTGATTGTTATAAGAGATAGTCAATATCGGGAGTGTTGTAATTGATGGAAAGACTAACTCTAAAATTGTGTTGAAGCACCAGAAGAACAATATGAGTGCAAAGACACATGGTGCCTATTGACTACCTAATAATAATTTTTCTACTTGGACGTATCCAATTTTTTGAAAGAAAATTTCAGAAAATATTATCAAATTTTTTTTATGATTTGACTTTTATAACAAAATAAATTATGAATTTTTAAGTTTATCAATTTAAACTCTAATATGTTGATTTGTTTTCGATCTAAATTATTTATCTACTTCTACTAAATAAAATTGATAAAAAAAAAAAGAAAAGAAAGATATTGTAGTAAAATATTTTAGATATTCTATATATACCTACATTGAGTTTAATGAGTAAAACACATTTTTTTCATTAACTTTATTTAGGCTTCGTTTGGCAACTGAACTTTTTAGTCAAAAAGTTACTAAATTAGTCAAAAAGTCAACAACTCATACCAAAAAGTCAAAGATTCTTTTTTCTCTCTATTTTTTACATATCTTTTCGTAAAAAGTCAAAAAGGCATCCCAAACATACTATTTTTTTTTAACTCATATTTTAGCCAAATAATCAAAAAATTACTAAATTAGCCTGTTCCCAAACGAGCCTTAATGAAAATAAATAAATAATTTAAATTAATAAAATTTAAAATTTATTTTATTACATTCTGGGAATTATTTATATAATTTTCCCAAAATTCTAATATAAAGCGTGCAAGATATTTTGCTGTAAGAATTATTCACATCATAATCTTCTAGAAAAATAGCAGATCTTGTACAAAACTTTGACCCAAAACACACACACACACACACTCGCACATATAAATCAGAAAAACCACTGCCCAGCCCTTCAGGTCTCTCTCTCTCTCTCTCTAGAATGGCATTGACTTCCAATCTCCGGCTTTTCACGGCGGCGCTGCTAATGTACGCCGGGTTAACCACCTCCGCCAACCACTGCCCCTCCTGCGGCACCACCCCAGTCCCATACCCCCTCAGCACCGGACCAAACTGCGGCGACCAATCCTACAAAATCCGCTGCGACGCGGGCTCACTCAAATTCGACACCCTCAACAACACCTACTCCATCGCCACCATCACTCCCGACATCCAACGGTTCGTCATCCAGCCCTCTAGCTTCGTCCCCAACACCTGCGTCACATCCGATATCTCCACCATGGGGATCCAGATGAACAGCTCTCTCCCCTTCAATATCACCAGCAGCAACACCATCATGTACCTCAATTGCACCACAACACTTCTCAACTCGCCGTTGAATTGCTCATCGACGAGTCTTTGCCACAGTTTCATCAATTCCTCGGCCCAGGTATCGGCCTGCCAGAGCGCTCCGATCTGTTGTACGTTTCGGGCTGGGGGGTCCACTACGTCGTATATGATTCGGGTTCGAGATGCGGGTTGTCGGGCTTATTCAAGTTTTGTGAATTTGAACCCGACGTTGCCCGTGAACCGGTGGCCTCAGCCCGGGTTGGAGATACAGTGGGTGTCGCCGAGTGAACCGGTTTGTGGGACTCAGGCGGATTGTGATTCCAACTCCACGTGCGGGTCGGATGTGCACGAGAATGGGGTTAATAGGTGCTTTTGTAATTCGGGTCTGCGGTGGGACCCGATTCAAGGATTGTGTGCTGAAAGTGAGTTTTTTTTACACTTGCTCAATTTTTATAAGTTTTAGTCTTAATTACACCAAGACCCCTCGATTACTTGTCAATATCAATTTTTTTAATTTATTTATGAATTCATTTTGACCTCTTTATATACATTACACTCCTCTAGATCACTTTTTGAAAGGATATATGATTTTTATAATTTAAGGGATCAATTTGAAGAGTAATGTTAGAGACTTCAAATATTCTACTAAAAGTTTTACCAAATGTCTTATATGGGTGTGAGATCTACATAATGTGAGTCCCATGTGGTCCCACACTCATGTGAGACATTTGGTAAAAATTTTAGTAAAATTTTTGAAACCTCTAGTATTTTTGCAATTTGAATGAGTTTATAGAAGAAGGGGTAAGTGATACAAAATAGTTATTTGTTAGGAGTGTTGGTGTAGTTAACTCTATCTAAGTCTTATTTGTGGGAGTCTTTCTATACATGTGATGGGTTTGGTTTTGTTGTGCAGTTGTGACATGTCAAGATCCGAATGGCTGTAATGGCGGCTCAAAGAATCGGACTGCACTTATAGCAGGTGAGAATGGAACTACATAATTTGGTTTAATTTTCAAAATCTAATTTTTATGACAAAAAAAAAATTAAAAATTAAAAATTAAATAGTAATCATTTTATAATGGTTTTATATTTTTTGGGAAATGAAATAATTTTTTTTAATTAAAAAATAATTTGGTATTTATTTTTCCAAACTGATTTTGATTCTTTATAAACAATTCAAAAAAATGATTCTGAAAGTGAAACTAAATAGAGAAAATTTTAATTTAAATATAATTCACACTACATTTAAATTGAATTTTAGTAAAAAGAAAAAATTCTATTTGCTGTCTTCATTTCCACATTCTATTTCTATGCAACTAATATTTGTGTTTAGCTGCCTATTTCCTCTTATAAAGCAATTAAATATGTTGTTTTTTTTATTTCAATCTTATAGATAAACACTACCCATTAAAATAAAAATATTGCTTTCTTCTTCGCCAATTGGATTGATTTAGATTGTAAGATTTTTTTTTTTCTTTTTTCTTTTTTTGGGTTACATAAGATCTATTTATGATGGTGTTAGAAAATGAGAACTTTTAGAATACAAAATATGAATACATGAATAATCACAAATGTGAGATTAACGGTTTTGTATTTGTGATTGTTTATTTGTTTCAAATTTTGTTGTAATTGGTGAAGTTACCATATAACATTGTCACATGGTACCTCTCGGTATTCAATATTTTACTTCCCTTCTGTTTTCTCCAATGTTGAAAGAGAATAATAGTGTTCAGGTTATCATATTTCCGAGTTCAAAAAAGAAGTTGTCATATTTCCAATCGCCCTTAAGAACAATCCATAGAGCATGTTAGGGCATCTTTAATTCTGGACTTCAACTTTATCAAATTTAAATTTAAAGAAAAATACTCAAAACACCCGTTATTCTTTGACTTAAACACTTATACTAAATAAATTGAATTGTACTCAAATTTTTACCGAAATTAAGGGAAACCCATTTTATTTACCCAGATTTCTACCCAATCTAAACTTCATGGTTGGACATTTTTACTTAAAATTTTCCACTAATCTCCTTACTCCAATCTATGGCTTCTGCTCAACATGACACTGTAATTTTACTCAAATTTGAATTTACCTCACTCATCCAAGTTTAATTCCTGTTTGGCAAATTAACTGTCAATTTAACTAATTCCGGTGCAAAAACCCATGCAGGTCTGACTGCCGGTCTTGGCACAGCATTATTTGCGGCCATAATCGGAGCTTTACTGTACAAACGCCACCGCCGCATCAAAGAAGCAAAAGAGCGTCTTACCAGAGAGCGCGAAGAGATCCTAAACGCTGGAAACACTGGCAAGTCCGCCAAAATCTTCACCGGCAAGGAAATCAAGAAAGCAACCAACAACTTCTCTAGAGACCGCCTCCTGGGCATTGGCGGCTACGGCGAAGTCTACAAGGGCTTCCTCAGCAACGGCACAACTGTTGCGGTCAAATGCGCCAAGCTCGGCAACACCAAGAGTACCGAACAAGTTCTCAACGAGGTCCGCATCCTCTGCCAGGTCAACCACAAGAGCCTAGTCGGCCTCCTCGGGTGTTGTGTCGAGCTCGAACAACCATTGATGGTTTACGAGTACATCCCTAATGGAACCCTATCCGACCACTTACAGGGTCCCAACCGAGGCCACCTCTCATGGAACCACCGGCTCTTCATCGCCCATTCGACGGCAGAAGGACTAGCTTATCTCCACTTCTCTGCAATGCCTCCGATTTATCATCGTGACGTGAAGTCGAGCAACATTTTACTCGATGAGAAGATGAATGCAAAGGTTGGAGATTTCGGCTTGTCTCGTTTGGCCCATACGGATTTGAGCCACGTATCCACGTGTGCTCAAGGGACACTAGGTTATCTCGACCCTGAGTACTACAGGAACTACCAGTTGACAGACAAGAGCGATGTGTACAGCTTCGGAGTCGTGCTTTTGGAGCTTTTGACATCACAAAAGGCCATAGATTTCAATAGACCATCAGATGATGTAAATTTGGCAGTTTATGTGCAACGGATGGTGGAGGAAGAGAGGATAATGGACGTAGTGGATCCAATATTGAAGGAAGGAGCAAGCCGCTTGGAGTTGGAGACGATGAAAGCATTAGGGTTTTTGGCTGCTGGGTGCTTGGAGGAGCGGAGACAAAACCGGCCTTCGATGAAGGAGGTTGCAGAAGAGATTGGGTACATAATCAGTGTTGCAACTGCCAAGGATGTTGAGAAAGTGGACTGATTGAGGATGGAGTTTTTGTTTAGGGTTGGTTTAGGTCAGTGTTGGTTAGCAGAGTTCTGATCTAGGTGTAGGTCTTAGTATGTTTCTCTAAGTTCCGTATTGTATATTGTAAATGGAAGTGGAAGTGGAAGTGTTTTTCACTGACACATAAAATAAAGATCCCAATGTTGTTAATTGAGGAGTATTGTCCAAAAAAAAACCCCACTGGCAGTGACAGTTGGGTGACACTAGTAGCTTTCATTTAATTTATATATGCACGACTTGTCACCCGTTTCTTTCTCTCGCCCTAGGAGTAGGTTAGATATATAAATCGTATTTAAATCCTCCAAAAAACAAAAATACCACATGAAAAGGAAAAACTATGAGATAACTGGGGCATTGTCTACATGAATGAAAAAATTGCCACGCCAAAGTGAATCATTTTGTCTCCCACTCCTACCTTCTTAACAATGAATCAGTATGTCTCACTCATAAAATTTTCTATTATGTGATTGATTTGAAACTTCACACAAGTAACGCCACATAATACTTCCGGACTAGAGAATAAATTACCCATGAAAGAGAGCATCAAAAAACAATATAAAGTAGAATGGAAATAAATATAGCCCCTGATTCATGCATTTTAGTCACAAATAAAAAATAACAATATCATTAATAATACAAGAATCAGAAAATATTTTTTGACTCCCAACATCATATATGATAACCAAAATGTTGAAATAAAATCTATAAAAAAAAAAAAAAAACAATAACAAATTTTTCCAAAACTGTAACACCATAAAAATAAAAACAAAAAAGGGAGGATAAAAAGACAACCATACCAGCGGAGCCTGGAGTCCCAGCCCGAACAAAGTTTCAATAATTCAGCATGCCCAAGGAAAAAAATTGCGTTCTAATTCGTTCTGGGTGTGGCCCACTCAACACGAAGAATGAGGTTGTCGTAACCATACCCATTGAGCTTTGCAATGGCCCTCTCGGCATCTTCCTTGTTAACAAAATTGACAAAACCAAAACCTCTGCTCATGCCAGTTTTCTGATCAATAGCAACATAGACGCGACTCACAGCACCAAATGTGCGGAACAGCTCGTGCAAGTCCGGTTCACGCGTGTCTTCTGATAGATTGGTGACACGAACTGAGTTCTCTTCATTTCTGCGCCTCATGTCGGACCCCCCACCAGCAGGTCTTTCTGCTCCTGCCCTCAGGCTTGGTGGAACATAAGCTCCCTTGGTCGTGCCGGAGGTTGCATTTGTCTCCGATGAAACAGGTTTATCAACAAAGGATTCAGGTTGAGGTGCAAGATCTTTGTACGGGCATCTAGATGTCCAGTGGTCACCTTTCTTGCCGCAAGTCCGGCACACCATGAGAACAGCACCACCTTTTCCAAGCTGAGCCAGGGAGTCTCCAGCAACCTTAGTTTCTTCTTTGGTACCTGTTTGAAGCTCCAACATAAGATAAATGCAAAACTATACCAATCAAACCAGGTGAACTAACATGCAAAATTATATCCACCAAAATACTAGAAAGTTAAAACTAAGTTTGTTGTCAAATCGCGAATTGGATAGTGAATCGTTTTGTTAAAATAGTGAAACATGAATAGTATTAAATCATGAATTGTAAGATTCACTTTATTTAGCATAATATATAATTTTATATATGTATGTACACAATTCATTCGTATTGTGATGTTAGATTTGATACAAAAGAAGGCTTTGTGTTTTCATAAGCATATTATTGATTGTTAATCAAAGCCGTGATGGATTTACAGTAAAATGAAATAAAAATTGTTAGTGCTGATCTCCCCCATTGTTCTCGTTTTAATTATAGCTCTATTGTATGTGTCCTTAATCACATTAAAACATATCTAAAGCCTCATATTTTTGAGGTTAGTTATAAATGAATTTACCAGGCACATTCAAGAGAATGTCCCATCATATATGTTGTTTCTTGATAACATAGTTTTAATTGCTGAAACTAAGTACAACTAATGTTTTAGGTTAAGTAGGACTGAGGTAGTAATATAGAGTACAAGTTTAGCAAAACTAGTAGGAATGAAGCAGCATAGCACATGATGGACAGGAACGACATAAGAGTATCCATTTTCAATATCTTGGACAATTATTCATATAGATTGAGAAGGCTGTCGCCTACAAACTTTATAGAAGTGGATGACTTGGAAAACTGCTTTAAAAGTATTATGGCATCATAATTGAAAAAAAAGTTTTATAAGACAGTTACAAGATGAATTATTTGTAAAGTATAGAATGTTGTGTAGTAAATAATCAAAATGTTCAAAAAATGTGTCATCAAAATGATAGTGAAATTACCAGGAAAAATAAAATAAGGAACAAATGCATTATGATAAGTAAGAAGTGACAAAATTAAATAGAATGAGAATCATAGATAGAGATGGTTTGGTGCAACATAGACCAAATGTCAGCTGCCACACAGGAGTGATACAACTTATGTAAAAGGTGTCAAAAGTACAAGAGGAAAGCCAATAAAGACACATTCAAGGTTGTGAAAGAGACAGGACATAATTGCCTTATTTAACTGAGCAAATGGCTTTGGATGGAGTTTATTTGGAGAATACAAATCCATGTATCTAACTTCAAGTGGTTTGAATAAGGTTTGTTGAGTTAAGCTAACAAAAGCAACTCATATGTCCCCATGTAACATAATGTAATACCTATAAATGGAAAAGGCCAAAGACAATGAATCCCTAAATGCATTGTTAAAAATTATCATATCATTTGGGGATGGAACAAAATGATTCCACAATTTTTTTTGGGAAAAAGAAAACAGAACATGGGTTTTAAGGAATTTCACCTTCTCACCCTTTCTCATCTCTTTAATCATCCAAACAAGTGATGAGAAATCTCTCTCTCTCTCTCTCTCTCTCTCTCTCTCTCTATATATATATATATCAAAACCGATTGTCAATCCAAAAGCACCACACCAAACAAATTTCAAGCTTCTTTTTTTATTTTATTTTTATTTTTCTGAAGAACAAAATTTCAACTTTTTCCATCCACGATCCATCGTAATCAAGTATTCAACAAATCTAAATAACAAAGTGACAGTTTTCAATAATTCTTCTATTTAACATGATTCGAAAACGAATAAAATTCAAACTTGCACAAACCCAATTCACAAAAACCAATCAAGCAAAGATATTGAAAAGCAAATCAACATGATATAGCAGAGAATTAACAGGAAAAAAAAAATAGAACATCAGAGAGAGAGAGAGAAAGAGACGAACCAGGGGCGCGAGGACGCTCGAGCAAGATCTCCTCGGTGGAGACCATGGTGAGCCGACTACCAACATCTACGTGAACAGCATCGCCGAACTTGGCCCAAGAGCGCCTCTCGACGGCGCGTTTGCTGAGGCGTGCCTTGGCGAGCTTGCGGACGCGAGTGGTGGTGATGATCTTGACCTTGTTGCCTTCGTCATTGAATTTGTACTCGATCACCTTCTTGATCCCATTCTCGTCGGGTCCGATCACTTGCCGGGGCGGCAGAAGGAAATCGAGGTCCTCGCCGTCGTCCTCCTCCAGCTCACCCCACCGGAGCTTGCTCGGCGGTTTCTGTGCCGGGTTGGAGTAACCGGGTCCATTCAACGCCATGATTGATGACCAGAGAATGATCAGCGCGGAGGAGATGACTGGTGTGTTCTAGGGCTTCTTCTACGAGGACAAGCAACGATTATTTATTTATTTATTTTGTTCTTTTCCTAAATCATCATTCATATATATATATTATTTTGTTCTTTTCCTAAATCATCATTCATATATATATATATATATATAGACATACACTAGTGTTTGTTGGTGCCTTTAAGTACGGTACAAATAATGAGAAGATAAAAATGTAATTAAATATAAAATTATTAGGTTAAAAGGTAATTTATCTTATTTGTTGTTAAAAATTTAAAGTTAAAATATGAATGGAAGTCTGGTTAGCTTTGAAAAGAATTTTTTATTAAAAAAATTTGAAAATATTTTTAGTTGTATATTTTGAAAATAAACATTTCCCAATTAACTATTTAAAGTACTGCAAGTAACGCAATTATAAACATTTCATTTTTATTAAAAAAATTTATGATTTTAAAGTATAAAATTCATATCAATGCAAACATTAAAAATAAAAGCACCCTTACTAAGTAAGTTAATAAAAAATTATAAACACAAAACAAAACATACAAACCAAGGTATTGTACATTTGTTAACACTCTATAATCCAAAAAAAATTACACCAAACAATGCACACCAGCCAGTATTCTGCAATTCAAAAAAAAATAAATTAAAATTAAATACCAACCTACACACACCAGCTATTGCTGCAATCTATGTGATGGGTCGTTGAACACAACAAAATTAAACACTAAACTACACCAAATTCTTTTAGAATAATGGCAAGTCTAGGTATCGATCCACAGGGACAGTTGTGAAATTAAACTAATTTAACTATTAAATTCCTAAATTAATTTTGATGAAAAGATTGATTGATCATAACCTAATTTAATAACGAATAAATTAAACTAAATAATTAAATTATCAATTATAAATAAAATTGGATTTATTGAATTGGGGAAAAACCTAGGACAAAGAGTCCACCACTAATCACGGAAATATGGTTTTCAAATTGAAAACAATTATGTTATGATTCGAACGGAATAATGCTTCGTAATTACAAGTTCAAAGCATTTAATAAGAAAATTATCACGTTCAATGTACGAGCACGAACCATCTCAAGTAGTACGACTCATTCACTCTAAACTAAGATAGTGATACGACTCATCTCTCGTAGTATGATTCGTCTCATACCTTGAATGTGAAAGAATAGAAAACTCTTGTGTGAAAAACATTCAACAATCACAGAAAGCAGAATATTTGAAGAAATAATGAAAAATATATATATAAAACTTCTAAAACACCATACAAGTGTTCAAACATTTACATAATTGAAAATCAAAAAGAAAAACCTATCACATGGCTAGGGTTTCATCAAAACCTTAGAAAAGGAGACTAGCTACTCATGGAGGAGTGAAATGAGGTAGATGGAGAAGAAGCCACCATGGGAGACATGCTTTCAAGCTTCAAGTTCCTCTTCTTTTTCAAACTCTAGCCTCCTTTTCTTGACAAAACAACTTCCGAACCTTACTCCAACCTTTTCCTTGCCTCTTTATACTTCTGATCTCTTCTAAACAGGTTTAAAACGTCGGGCACATTTTCCCAGAAAAAGTCAATGCACGTGCGGGAAAGTCAACTTTCTCCAAATTCTGTCTTTTTGCCCATTTTATGCTCCGACTATATACAACCTGATTAACATTCAACATACATAAAGTATACAGTTTGACCAGCGAGTGAAGTTAAGAAATCCTAATTAACGGTCTAATGATGTACAATTTGGCCTTAATCACATCCCCCAACTTACAACTTGCTAGTCCTCAAGCAAGTAATAAAAATAAAATAGAATTAAGCAAAATCTAGCTATTTTCTCTTTCGTGAGAAAATGGCTGCATTTTAGCATATGCAACAAGCCTTTAAACCACAAAGTTACCCCAAGTGGACGAGTAAAGTTTCGTGAGGGTTTCCAGAAATGATACCCATAAACATTTAGATATTCATATACGCCCAACAATTAACCACACTACTCCACCTAACAATCAACTTATGTGCCACTACAGTGTGATATTAAAACATAATGAGTCATTAAAGGCACAGTGGACAAGCATGAAGGAACCTATTAAGTCAAAACCACAATTCAGTTAATATAAAAGTAAAGTCCCCTGTACTTGTGCATGCTAGTAAACAAATCATCAGTACCCTTGGTGTAAAGTGCAATCTCAATATTAGTTAACTGTCCACTATAATAGCCCAGTGTAACTCATAATAACACCCAACATATACAGAAAAACTAACCTATTGCAGCCAAGATTTTCAATTTTTTTAATTATTATTATTATTATTATTATTATTATTATTATTTTAAAATGACTGTGCAATGTCCTGATCCATTAAGTTTTCTAATCAACCCATGTAGCAAGCATTGGGCCAATGACTCCCAAACCAGACGGTTTTAGGGCATTAGGTGTAGAGACTTTTATCCCGAAACCAAGAAAATTCACTTTTTTTGAGCCATCCAAAGTTGCAATCCAATTTGAGAGTTTTTGGGTAAAGAATGTTAACCCATGTAGCAAGTATTGGGCCAATGACTCCCAAACCAGACGATTTTAGGGTACTAGGTGTAAAGACACCCCTACGAGCTTAATAACTCGAGTTAAAGAGGCTACGAACCCAAACAAGTTAAGTGTTTTTTTTTTTTGTGAGAAAATCGAGGCTACTCATTTATTCTTTTCTGCAACCCTAGCTATTATCAATGATGTACACCAGGGATTATAATAAAGAGGTCACCGCTATGAGAGTGTGTTCATCCAAATTAAGGCATACTTATGACAAGTGTACTAATACCACAAGCACAAATGACTCCCCTAGTGCAAACATCACATGCAAGTATCTACCCAATAAATCATTTTCATACAAGTCTACTATGCTCCCCAATTAACATATACAAATATCATCACCCTACTAACAACAAGTCATATCAAGTGAAGTAATGCAATCAAGTGAAACAGGTATAAGCATGAATGATTGAGCCAAATAGAAATGCACAAAAGAAAATACAACCCTTATCCCCTAACTTGAATATGACATTGTCCTCAATGGAAAGGTAAAGAGAGATGAGAAAAGATTACCATAGATTGTAGGTGCACATCCAGGTAGGTATATAGTAACACACACACACACACACTTCACATTTTTTTTTTGAAAAGAAAAAATAACTAAAAAGAAAAATAAAAATAAAAATAAAAGAGATAAAGCAATATACAGTGCGTACTACGGAGAATCCGGTGGTGGTGGTGGTGGTGGTGGTGGCGGGAAATGCTGGGCAAATAAGGCTTCATCAAAGATCGCGTCTCAAAGGCTTCATCTTGAACCCACTGTTGGATATCAAGCTGGAGGGCATGTAGCTGGTCGAAGGTCACCTGAGAATAGTCTCGATGTGCCTGAAAATCAATGCGCAACTCCATGAGACTCTGATGGTGATCACGAAAAGTACTGTGGACCTAATCCACAGAGTACTGAAACTGTAAGTACTCTTCTCGAGTCATGTAGAGTGGGTTCCCTTGGGGAGGCACGGGGGGAACAAGATGAGGTGAGTGGACGTATACGGGGTTCTGGGCCTCATCAACTGGGACACCAACCTGCTGCGGGATGCGAGATATGCTATGCTGCCATTCCCGCTGGCCAAAAGTCGGATACGCTCTATCAATCTCCTCATTCTCAGCAATGGGGAGGCCGTTCAGCTCAAACACAAGTGTCAACAAATTGGCAAATGGCAATGGCCAAGTCAGGTTCTGCATAGGTTCAGGCTGAATTGCCTCTCGTAGAAATTTCCGCACATGCATCCAAATGATATCCTCAAGCGAAACCTGATAGCCATGCTGATAAACGTGTAAAACCCAAACAAACTCCAAATGGTGCTCAGCTCTATGCCCAAGTGGAAGGGCATTCTTATGGACCACGGAATCAATGAATAGCAAGCGGCTCGGCAACTTGCTCCGCCGCAAGCATGTGAAACTGGTGTCACCGTGGGCCCTCAGGAAGTGTTGTTGGATGAGGCTATGTATGGGTTGTCGATCCGTAACTTTCGGGAAAGGCTGATATTCTGGCTTGGTGAAAAACCCTAACGCAGTGGCAATTATGGATGTGGTGATGTGGACGATATGACCATCAATGGTAGAGAGTAGTCCATTCTCAGTGAGTGACTCATATAGGTTCTAGTAGAAGAGTCGTACCAGACGAGGATAAGTGGGTGCTGTCATAATGCAAATGCCCAACTGTTGCCGAAGGTGGAGCTGCTCAACAGGCCAAGAAGTGTCCGGGTCACGCTGAAAATATGGAATGTTGAACTGCGTGAGCTTGTGAAGCAGGCGTGAAACCCACCGTGAAGCAGGCGTGAAGCCCACTCTGGCCGTGACAAGTCACCCGATGGTGGTGGTGACAGTGGCGGTGGTGGCGCCGAAGAGGTGGAACTCTAGTCTTTTTGGAGGCCCGAGCGGATACACGTCGACTCATATCCTGCACACACCAACAGTAAATAGACACAAATCCATGGAACCAATCATGAGAATAAAGCAAAATATGAAAGCACAAGTTTGCCCACCAATAAACCACATGCAATTCTCAGTTTATATATGTATGTATATATATATATATATATAAATTAAATAATGACTAAATAACTAATAACTAACTAATTAAAATAACAGAACTAATGACTAAATAATTAACCTAACATAACTAAACTATTCAAACAACCTAAACTATCAAATAGAGAATGAATTAAGAAAATATAATAACAGAAACCAAAATAAAATAAACTATAAATGAAGCTATAGAATAAAATAAACTACTAAACTATAAAATAACTAAACTATAAAATAAACTAAACTGTAGAATAAAATAAACTAAACTAAACCCTTTTTTTTATTTATTAATGAATGACTGAATAATTAAACTCACAGAACTAAACTATTTAAATAACCTAAACTAACAAAGAATTAATTAATAAATAAATAAAAGAAAAATAGAACAACAAAATAAATAAAATACAATAAAATAAATAAACAACTAAATAGATTTTTTTTTTTTTTTTTTGTTCTTGGGAGAAAA